AATGAAATGACTGCTGAAGATTCTCCTATAAAAGAGGACACTAACTGGTTTCCAATATTCATCACTGAGTTTCTTGTGATATCGATAATTAATGCTATCACCATCACCGCCTTCGCAAGAATCCGCCATCTACGCAAGCGCAGTACGTACCTCATAATAAACCTGACTTTGGCTGATCTACTGGTGGGTGCCGTGACAGGACCTTTGTACTCTTTAAAAAGACACAAAGAAAACAGCGTCTTCACATGGGCCATTAAACTCACCTTCCTAATAGCTTCCTACATGAATCTTTCCTTGATATCCTTAGAGCGGCTACATGCAACACTTTTCCCCTTCAGGCATTGCTTGATAACGAAATGGACTTACATTAAAATTATCATCGCCTGCTGGTCTATAAGTTTACTTTTGGCCTTTGTCGTGGCTGTTTTATCAGAAGAAGTATTTCAATACGCATGGGCATCATTTAGTGTTGTCACTTTACTGGTCCTAGCAGTCTGTTATATCATTATCATTGTTGATGTTCAAAGAAGTCCTCATTCACAACATTATGGTTCAGTTCACAAAGAAAGGAAACTATCAATAACATTATTGATAGTCACTGGAGTTTCTGTTCTCGCCATTCTTCCTATGGCTATTTACAAATCCATGCCACAACACATAAAGGAAAAATGGCACAGTGCGTCAAGCGTTGATGTCCATGATACTCTAGCTGTGATATCCTTTGCCAATTCCATGGTGAATCCTCTTGTATACGCCATACGAATGCAGGAATTTAGAAAAGCGTTAAGAAACCTTGGATCACGCCAAAGGCAAGCAGGGCAACGACGGCAGACAAGCACCGACCGGAAGAGAGCTCAACCTTCACAACCTCAAACTATGTTGTAAACTCCAAACTGCCAAAGAGTCGAGATGTTGCGGACGAAGTAAAACCTACTTTGCAGATTTCCAGGACCACATTGAAATTATCAACTTTCCAAACTGTGGAAATGAACTTTAAGTTAAGAATTCTTAAGTAATAAATAGTAAATGCCAAAAGAAACCTGCCCAGAGTCATGCGCCTGGACTTACAATTTCATATAAGTAACTGCTATAAAAAACCTTATTACAAGCTATTTACAAATATATGAATAACAATTAAATAAACTTTCCAGGCGAACTGAGACTAATAAGGAGTAGCAAAACCAAGCCAGTTGAAGCAATTGGCAGACTATCTTCCTGTGACTGCCTTGAATTGGAGTGAGACTTTTACCTCTATATCTAGATTCAAAACGAACAACCGGCATGATCATGATGCCGACACTACTAAAGAAAACTTTGACAGCCGTGTCCCTCTTTTGTGATTCACGAGTGACAGCTTGTAGTTTTTCCATACTTTGACTCCATGTTACGAAGGGTGTAGTTAGTAAGCAGGTAAACACAGTTTGTTCTGGGTGGCCCATTCAGCTTCGTGGCTGATTTCCACTGGGTTATGCTAAAAAGAAATTCAAACAAATATGAACTAAGAAAAAAATGTCATAAAACAAGGGTTGATAAGAAAAATAAATATGATTTTGATAGGTTCTGTTTTCGTTCTCTAGTTAATCTGCATCTCGAATGTAAACCAGTTAACGTCGAGAATACAACGCCATACCTCCATTTTTTTAATTTAACTTGTCTCTAAGTTACTGTCCACGAGAGTGAAATTCCCGTCTAGACCCTCCTGGGATTTCTGACGTCGCTAGTGATCTAAAATAACTACAGAGGGAATGCCTGAGGAACAAGGCCTCTATGGATGGTAAAACAACAAATAGATAGCGTAAACTGACGATCTTCTTAGGCACATTTACCACAACCAAGCTGTTCCTGTTTTCACCAGGTTGACCGTGTATAAATAACCTTCCCGTGCTATTCCCGTCTCTGTAATATCAGAATTTCGGAATTAAGCAATGCTATATGTTGACTTCAGTCACTACTAAATTTTCCCAGTATCAATCTGTGGCACATCCTGGGCGTGGTCGAACCGCTTAACCAACGTTGAGGTCCGTGATCTTTCCAAGATTCAGAACCCTGAATCCCTTCCTCAACAGCTCGGGCTACGCTGGCTTGGGCCTCTCCACCGAATGCCTGACGGACAGATCCCAAAGACCTGCTCTACGGCGAACAGTACGAGTCATGTTGCAGCTCTCGTAAGGTCTCACATGAATGGCAAGAAATCCTTTGAGAGGACAATAGAACAAACAACAGAAACAACGCCCCCTGGCCCCAAAACAATACTGAACAGCTGCTGCAATGAGGACAAATAGAATTACAAGCTTACGAAGGCTGCTACACTACCACACAGTGAGGGAAAAGGCCATGGGAATGAAGTTGAGTTGCAGGCGGATATCTCCAAAGCCATTAAAGTTTTTTCGCTTTTATGAAAAAGTTTATCATTTTACGAAGGGAGAGGNGTCTCCGTAATATCAGAATTTCGGAATTAAGCAGTGCCATATGTTGACTTCAGTCACTACTAAATTTTCCCAGTATCAATCTGTGGCACATCCTGGGCGTGGTCGAACCGCTTAACCAACTTTGAGGTCCTTGATCTTTCCAAGATTCAGAACCCTGAATCCCTTCCTCAACAGCTCGGACTACGCTGGCTTGGGCCTCTCCACCGAATGCCTGACGGACAGATCCCAAAGACATGCTCTACGGCGAACAGTACGAGTCATGTTGCAGCTCTCGTAAGGTCTCACATGAATGGCACGAAATCCTTTGAGAGGACAATAGAACAAACAACAGAAACAATGCCCCCTGGCCCAAAAACAATACTGAACAGCTGCTGCAATGAGGACAAATAGAATATTACAAGCTTACGAAGGCTGCTACACTACCACACAGTAAGGGAAAAGGCCATGGGAATGAAGTTGAGTTGCAGACGGATATCTCCAAAGCCATTAAAGTTTTTTCGCTTTTATGAAAAAGTTTATCATTTTACGAAGGGAGAGGGATGCCGGAACAATTTTAATCCAACACGCATGCATGGGTCTGTTCCATGAGCTCTTGAAACCCGTGCAGACTTCGGGCTACGTAAGTCATACCGATTAATTCAAGGATATGGTGTGCCTTCACAAGATGCGTGATATCCTTCTCGTCCCCAGGGTCACCAATCCTTTTTAAACCGGGGAGCCTTGGCACGAGGAAGAGGCATGATTCGATTGGCTTGATTCCGGCTGGACGAAGAATTTCATTGATTCAATGCTGGTCTCCCTCCCAAAAATATCCACTGGTTCATCTCGACCTTAAACCGTTTGTTTATTGAGCCAATAGACTTTCAGGAAGTTTAAAATTTGCTTAAGGGGAGATCTTTCAGTGAAGTCTTCTACTCAACGAAACATATGAATACTACTTCCGGTCAGAACTTCAGGCGTTTTTTATCTCCTTTGGTAAATAATGATAAAAATAAATATTTTAATTGACCACTCCACCAGTACGGTTTTTCAGGAAATCAAATGATGAAACAAATAATGCAAATGAACATAACGTGGTTAAAAATCCCAACTGGCAGGACGCAGTCCAGTTGGCTATTTACAAGCGTAGCCGAGGAGTTGAACTTGGGTCTACCGAGAAACAACTCCAGCTTAGTGGTCAGAGCGGGACTTGAGCCTGCGACCTCCGGATTTCAAGTCCAGCACCGTAACCACCCGGCCACGCCGCCTCCACACCGCTACCTCCTCCACACCTCCACACACCTTATGTCCATGAGACAGGAGGATTTTTGTTAATAAAACCGTTACGTTTGCACTTGCTCTATTCCAAGTGTTTCAGTAAGAGTTCAACCAGTGGATATTTTCGGGGATGAAGGCAGCGCTGAATTATAGAAATCTTGGGTCTAACAATCTAGCCAATCACATATCACCATAGCTGACTTTTTCCTTGTGCCAAGGCTTAGACGGCAACGAGGAACAGACGGCCTGGGGACGAGACTGACACGACATTTTGCTACCCAGTACAGAACTTCAACCTCGACCCCAGGACTTATCGCGTTAAATCCAGGTTATATACTTAAGACTAAGCTAAGGAGGCCATGGAGAGAAACGATGTGTAATCAAAGCGCAACATAATCCTTCCGAGCCCCACTCAAAAAGTACAGAAGTGAACGACCCTGATCCCCGAGCCCGCGTCCAATAGGGGAATCCTTGTTAACAATATTTGCCTCATTAGCATGAGCAATTCAGTTTCTGATGGAGCTACAAATGTATCAGTTCCGAATATTGAAAGGTCATAGTACGGTTAACTCTGCCAATGAATATGAGCCTGATCTATCGAATACTTTTTGTGCAACACTGGTTTAAAAACTCAAAATTTTACAAAGAATGTATGAGCTCTTAACGCTTTTGCCACCCGGGAATTTTGCAGTTTTTGAAAGACAATATTTCCTTGAATATTACACCCAAAGAGATAACAATTTCACCATGTATTAAGTTTCACAGCTCTTTAGCTGCCTGGAGTCAATTCATATCCAACATGTTTCCTTAGGTTACCGTCCTCCACTACCTTTGCAAGACCATTCAAGAAGGCCCCATTTCTGGCAATACATGCAACCACCATGACAAGCTATCTATTTATTGTCAATGTACTGTCAATTAAACGTTTAGAACCTAATCTTGCGGGGGTTTTTTTGTTATTTGCTGAGAAAATGTAGGCTTATTACTTGCATGATGCATTCTATTGGAGCCAATAATAAACTCATCAATGCAAAAAGCAACAGGGAACCTGGGATGGAAGGAGCTGGGGAGAAATCAGGCTTGGGGTTCATGTTTACAAGTACAACCTCTGTGACACTCTTCTCGAGAATATTTCTTTGTAGGTCAGTTTGAACTTAATGTAAAATAATTGTTAAAGCTATCTTTATTGACAAAAGATTTATGATGAAAATTAAAAGCATAGAGTATAAAGAAAATAACTAATTATCATTTCAAACTAAAAGGTAGTAAAGCTATTACAGTTTCTCAAGAAAACAAGGGGTTTGGTTATAATAAGAGATCACCTGATATTGATCTTTCTATCTTTGTCATAACCTTCGTTACTGAACTCTTTGTTTTGGCAATAAGTCATTTTGGCTCAACAAGTTTCTCCTGGATAAACTCCTGGATAAACTCCTGGATAACTCTTATTGCCAATGGCTAAACATAGGAAGTGTCCCTGTTCATTGGAACCAGATGCTGTGTTTTTTTAGTTCTTTCCATATAACCTCCTACACAGTTTTCTTTTACAGTCTATTCAAGCTTAAGTGAACTCACTGAGAAAGGAAAAAAAAAATTAGAACCCAAAGCATCAGAATACCTTTCTTGTCAGAAATGCGAGACAAGAAATAGCCTTACACTGCGTGCGGACACCCGAGGAAACAGATCCTGCTCCGATCTCACATTTGACGAACATTTTAACATGAAATTAAGCATTTTCTACCAAGAGGTCTCGTCCATGTTATTCTGAAGATCATCCGTTTCATCTAGGTCTCCCGTACAGTGATTTTATATAATTTTACCATCTAAAATATCCACACGACCGCCCGGAAGCTTGCGTCAGTTGGTTGGCCTCACTCACAGAAGAAAATGTTATCGTTGACAGCAGGGGCGTAGCCAGGATTTTTCAAAGGGGGGGGGGGTGACACTGTGTCAAAGTGAGGGTACTCACCATATTGTGTCATTTTTGCCATATGTTGTAGGTTGTTTGCTTACAAAAGGCTTGCAAAAGGGGAGGGGTCACAGGCACCCCAGGACCCCCCCTAGCTACGCCCCTGGATGGTTTTGCAGATAATTTAGCGCAGAAAAATAATTCGTTGGTACATTACTTACTTTCGAACCCAGCATATGACTTGATAGTTCAAATGTCTTTGTAAGGGAGCATTTTCCATCTAATATTTTCTCATATTTAGAGGGNAGAGCCCCTGACATGTGCGTGAATCCGCGCGGATATATGACGTCAGGATGGCGCAATTTGTTCTAAAAATAGAAAAATTGTCCCATATCATGGGTGCACGCGAATCCCGAGACTTACGGTCTCCGTCCCCGATTATGGCTCCTGTTGGTACATTATTTACTTTCGAACCCAGCATATGACTTGATAGTTCAAATGTCTTTGTAAGGGAGCATTTTCCATCTAATATTTTCTCATATTTAGAGGGTTTTGAGTATTGATCAGCAGGTCCTCCACGCTATCGTCTACAAAATGGGTTTAAACCCACTGATCATTTTTATGCATGTGTTAAATGATTCGTTTTCATCACCATTCAAACGTTTTAAACCATATCAGGATCATATTTTTCTGTTCGTGTTGTTCATTGTTGGGTTCTCGAGATATCGCCCAAGAAACGGGCGTAAAGCTTCACTTTTCAATCGCATTTTCAATTGATCGATCTCAAAATTTTGTGTTTTTATGCCTTCTGACGTCCAGTTTTTGAAAACCAAAGTATTTTTGGACAATATTAACAGGTTATCTTATTCCTGTGATCTGTTGATCGCTTTCCTTCAAATTCTTTGAGCAATCATCGGATG